ATATGCAACTGTAACATTTTATGTATATTTTTTCTATCTCTGTTAAAATTATTTGTTAAAAAAAAAACATAAGATGTAGATCAAACTACTACGATTTTTTTCATGTAACTTATAAAATAACCCCCCTGTAACAAAGATTTTTTTTCCTTAGTACAATAAAGCTTTGATTGATATCTTACTAAGCTCTTAAATAATAAATCATCCAACACCTGATGCTGAGAAAAACGTTTATTTAAAGAAACATTAACGTTTTTTGACCTAATATAATACGTTCGAGAATACTTGCATTTGAAGATGGCCTATGGAAAACGTTAATGTTCTTTTTCAATAAACCTTTTTCTCAGCATCAGGTGTTGGGTGATTTGAATATATTAACGTTTTTCCCGCGAAAAACAATAAAATAGTCGATTAGGTACATTAGCTGACAGCTAACAAGTTATACTCTGTATGGGTAGGAGTAATCTGCAATGATATCGATAAGAATGAGGATAGATGGAGAATGAGCTCCGTATAATACTATAGATAATAAATAGATCTCTCAATCAGGTCGAATTCGAACCCCAGTCGATCTCTAATATCTTATAGTGAAAATTTCTGATAGACAATATAATATGAAACAGGTTAGTAGTCTTTCTTAAAACCATAGAATAGATACATTCTATCAATACACTGAGTTCATTCCATAATATGCATTATTTAAAATGGTGGTTAAAAAGAATATGAAAAATTTAGCAGCAAGAGTTGCGTAACTTTCCTGGCTGTTATAAAAGTTTTTTTTTAAATAAAAACGCATATTATTAAGCAAAAATAAAATTGTATGGGACACCATTGTTATCAGATTTTGTTATAAAAACATTTTATATTTTTAATTACTATAAAATGGCAAAAAGCTTAATTTTTACTTTACCGGTTGTTATATATAAACAGACGAAAACTATGGTAATCGGTCAAAAAATGGCCTCCCAAAGTTTTTAATTTTTGGACTTGGAAACTCAAAACATTGAGAAACGCAAAAAAAAAAAAAAATTGGAGGGTGTTTTCTCTATGTATGGATTATGGTGTGTACGCCGGGTACGTTTTTGTTCATCCACTTCGAAGTTTAATAATTCCCGTCTCTTTAGTCGAAAATTTCAGAAATTTTGCAGGATGGTATGCGAATTAGCAGTATTGATTCTATCAAATTTTGGTGGTTAAGGGTCGAGGGAATGGGGAGATAGAGGGAAGTCGTGTGTGGTATCTCGAGGGGGTTTGGACTTAATGAAGATTTCACTCGTTATTAGCATTTACGATTTTTAAAAAAAATAAAACTCATCTCTAGCCTTAACTATTATAAAATAACAAAAAGCCTAATTTTAATTTTAACTATATAAAAAGACTTTTTTAATAAAATAGCGTAACGGATGGTACCACACACACAATTTTAATTATTTTGCCTGGAAAGTTACGCAACTCATTGCTGGATTTTTTTTGTCTGTTTCTCCTGAAAATGTTGAGAAAGAATTATCACTTTGTTACGTTGATATTCGTACAGTCGACCTCCCTATAACGCGGGTTCATATAATGCGGATTCGTATATCGCGGCGAAAAAATTGCGACCGTATTCGTATAAAGACGCTAAAAGAGACTCGTAAAATGCGGTAAAACGTCATCGCCGACTCGTGTCGCGACAGGATTGGTCGAATCTGGACCAATAGTGGACGAGCAGCCGAACTACTTACACACTACAGAGAGTTTAGGCGGGTAAGTTGAGTTTACTATCGTCTCTACAGTACTGTATATAAATTAGGTACTGTAAGTCTAATACAGTACTGTAATTTTATACATTTCTTGTGAAAAAAACAATTTTTATGGCCGTTGAATAAGAAATATTTCTATTAATGATGTTTCCAAAGTTCAGCGAATTTTTCGCAGAAAAATAACTTATCAGAAAACGCGCCCGCCGTTTGGTGCGCTACTCCGCGACGAAAACAAGCTTAAGCAGTGGCGTCATCGAACGGTGCACACTCGGTAAGTAGTCCTACAATTTTTTGTTTATAGCATAGTTTATACGGATTATTCCCAAAAAATTAACGTGTTTTGGAAATGTTGAATCAAATTAGTCTAGAATCGATTAATTTTATGGAAGAAAACCTTTCAAACAGCCGTAGTCTGTAACCTGCACACATGCCGGGCTGTGATTGGTCATGTATTTAAGGATTCCTACAACGCGAAATTTTTATAAATTGGAACGTATCTATCGCGTTATAGGGGAGTCGACTGTGTTTATTTTTGTGAATAAAATATTTAAAAATTCATAAACTCATTTACTCTCTAAAATACGATTAAATTATAATCTTATCTTTAAAAATATAAGGTCATTTCACTCAAGATATTTCACACTTGTCCATGTTTCGTTATCGAAGGATGATGGTAAAGTATCCCTATACAACGCTGTTTATAAAATCAACGCAGCAGTCCAAGTTCACTCATCAGCCAAATTTCGAATACTGACGTTTCAGCAGGACATGTGATTTCCTCGGGGATAAAAATTTAATTCTAAAACTCACTGCGAGAGGCCAAGAAATCTCTGCGTAATTTCTTAAAATATAGTAACTCTCACATCAGCATTATTTTCATTAAACGGTTTCAGAAAAAAAAAAAAAAAAGGCATGTTCAAGCATCACTGCTGATTTTCAGTAATATGAATGGTATTTCACATATCGTAAGCAGTTTTATATCCGAAAATTGCGCGTAGCACATATCCATTATCCATCTACTGCAGTTGTATTTTTTATTCCCCCCGCCGTATAAGGCACTTAAATACTAGATGTACACTACAAAATGTCGTATTTATGTAATCCACATAATTTAATTAATTATCAAAGATTGATACATATCTATAGTAGTAGTACTGTACATATTAAAAAAAAAGATTTGAAAAGTCTGGTTTTTATAATATCTTGTTTATAAAAGTAGATTTATCAATGCACTATAGACTTGTTTAAACTTCTGATAAAAATCAAAAATGTATTGTAAGCATTTCAAAAAGAAATGGAAAATTATTGTCAATTTAAGTGTTTTTCAACCTTCTTGAATACGCGACCCCTTTAAAAGTCAAAAAATTCTGGCGACCCCCCTAGGGCCATATTAAAACTATATCAGTGATTTTAAAAACTATGTATTTAATTTTCTTTCTGTTGAGACAAATTATTGTTGATTAAAATGAAAGTTTCAGCAGAATCGACAATAATTTAACACACAAAGTATGAAACTTCCTTTAATTGTGACATTATGCACATGGAACTGTTCACCAACGGTATTTTTTTTTTTAGGATCTCAATTTTCAGTTTCTACTTTTCTGCTTTTTATTTCCTTTTGCAAATCAGCTCAACACTTTTTCCGCAATCATTTTCTGGGGTGGGCCGTAATTCTCGCTAAAATTGTAGTTTTTTTAATGTAGTGTAGGACCTACAAACACTTGTCTTTTTCTTGTACCCGCGACCCCCCGTGTAAGGCTTCGCGACCCCCACGGGGGTCGCGATCCACAGGTTGAAAAACACTGATTTAAAATAAGATTGCTTTTTATTTTATCTTGCAAGCTTGCTAAATTCATCTTTGAGGCAACTCAAAATACATCAAAAGCAAGTAACTTACGAAACTTATTCGAAATTACTACTTAATACGGGTTACAGATATTTATTTTCAATCTTTTTAAACAGAATTTTAAAAAATATATATTATAAATATGTTACTTATATTTAGTAACGTCTTAATAATAGTTTAAATGCAAGACTTAGCAAACGTAAAAAAAAAAATAAAGTTCGTTACCGTAAACAGTACATACCATTTCAGACGTTTACAGTATCATTAAACTAATACATTGCGATGTAACTTAATCCCGCCATCTAACGAATAAACACCAAATTATCTTTTAACAAATTATAACCAGATAATGACAGCTAAAATGATATCTTCCGCGTTTTTATAGCTCACACCCGGTAAGGAAGTAGGAGAACGCTGATTGGTCACTCGGGAAATTAAATAATCGCGATGCATATTGGACAAGATCTAATTTATTACAAATATTATCGCTATTCTTTAGTAAAGACTAAATAGACTTTAACACGTTATTCTTACTATAAAAATAATCCTGTAATTTGATACAGTGTAATCATTTTTTACGTAATAAAAAATTGAAAAGTCATTGCATGGAAATTATACATACAGATACAGGGTATTTCGAGTCAATAACTCGGAAAATACGCTTGTAATAGGAAATTTAATAAAAATAAAGTTTAAACTTCGAAATTTCAAACTGAACTCTCCATCAATTTTTAATGGATAATCCAAAAAGAAACTTTTAACATTTTAAAAACTATTAGCAATAAAAAAGTTTATTGTTTAGTCGAGGATTTGCGGAGTGTAATTTTAAAATGTGAAAAGCATTATAAAATTTAGGTTAATTGATTTATCCTTCATTGCAAGTTTATAACAGCAAGCCAAATATTTGGTTGCGCGAATATTGACTTGATTTTTAAAATAAAAATAAATATATTGATTCAATTTGAGTTGCATAGCTAGAATATCAATTTTATCGACTGAATTTTAGGGATTTATAGCTTAATCAACTATAGGAACATTAAGGCTGATTGTAATCTTTTGTTAGGCACCCGATCTCCATCAGATGGCGTTAAAATATTTCTTCTAGGGAAAATCCTATCCAAAAATTATTTAATTCTTCTATTAACGTAAGAATCAGAATTTTGAAAATCATTCCATAATTTTCTACGAATTTTTAAACTTTGTGCGAAATCTTTAATGAATTAAACAACATTCTGATGAATAAATAAAACAAAAAAAGAGTTTGGTTCTCTGCTACCTTTTTGAGAATTTTTGGAATAGTATTTTCTCATAAAAAAGCGTTACTATTTAACGTCAAATTTAATATTTGAGATTTTAAGATTTAACCAAATATTTGAAGCTTAAACTTATAAAATTGAAAAGTGTATTTTTTTTAATAAATACAGTTAAATTCAAAACAGATTGAAAATTATTTATTCTCACTAAATAATCAAATCACTAAAATTACAGCTCAAATTTTATTTAACTAATACTTTTCAAAAAATAATAATAATAAATGAAAACGATGAGTTTATTAAAAATAATCATGTCTGAACATTTGAATTAATATTCAATGTGATAGAATTGTCATCCAGTTCACCTATCCATAAGTAATGGTTTTCTGGTCAACCATCATATTTCTACACAATGAGATTTAAATCAAATGCATTAGTCCTGATTAAAAATATTTCTGAAGATCTGGTTCAATGGCCTTTAAAAAAATGTACATAAAATAAGGCAGTTATAATACATTTATAAAAATTACAAGTAATTATATCTTACCAGAGGTTCGTGGTTTGGTGCATAACGAGCAACTGGTTGCCCGTCTTTATCGACAAGAAACTTAGTGAAATTCCATTTAATAAAACTGAAAAGATATTTATATTTAGTTAATATGCATGAGAATGAAGTAAAAATGAAATTGTAACATACCTGCCAAGAGTACCACCCTGCTTTGATTTTAAATATTTCCAGAGGGGATGAGCATTATCACCATTAACATTGATTTTACTGAACATATCAAACTGAACATTGTAACCTTTTACAAACTCTTTAATGGCAGCTTCATCACCAGGTTCCTGTAAAATTTTTTGATTTGTTTTATTAAAAATATTAATAGTTTCTTAAAGATTTCTTAATATCTGTATATATTTTTTTATATTTAATTTTTATTGAAACTTTTATATGGGGAAAGTTACCTGATGTCCAAACTGATTGCAAGGAAAGCCCAAAATTCGCAACCCATGAGATTCACTGTATTTCTCATGCAGCTGTTGTAGTTGCGTATAATTTTTGGCTGTCATTCCTCACTTGGACGCAACATTAACAATCAAAACAACATGACCTCTAAATAAATGTTTTAGAATTAATAAGACATTTGTTTAAAATATTAAGCATTATTATATATATATTATTTCTTTACAAATCATTATACATACTATGTACACATACATACACACACATATATATATATATAGTACGATCCAAAAGTTCGGGGACTTGGCTTAAAATTCCTTACCTTAAAAAGTTTATATTGCCGATGCACAACCACCTTCAAAGTAATCACCTTGGGCAACGATACAGTTTTGCCAGCGCTCGTATAACTTCTGGAAGCACTGCTGGAAGCCATTTTTTTGAAACCTCCCGTAAGGCCTCCTGCGATGCTGCTCTCACCTCATCTGATGACACAAAACGGCGTCCCTGCAAATGCTTTTTCATTGATGGAAACAAATAAAAATCACACGGGGCTAAGTCCGGTGAATAGGCGGGGTGTGGAAGCACATTAATTTGAGTTTTGGCGAGAAACTGTGTGACCATTTGGGACCGATGTGCAGGTGCGTTGTCATGCAGAAGGTACCAGTCTCCACTTTGCCAGATCTGTGGCCATTTACGACGAATGGATTCCCTCAAACGACATAAAATGTCTAGATAATGCTCCTTGTTTACTGTTCTGCCTTCGGGAATAAATTCTGAATGAACAATTCCTTGAGAATCAAAAAACACCTCCATCATGACTTTTCCTTTGCTCGGTGCATGTTAAGATCTTCCGTTAAAATACGCTGGCAACTAGTCTTTGATAAGTGAGTAGCCGCAGCGATTTTTTCAAGGGTTTGGCGACGATCTTTGCGAACACATTGAGAGACCAACTCAACATTTTCCTCGTTCCGTGAAGTCGAAGGTCGGCCAGAGCGTTCATCGTCTGCGATGGATTCTCGGCCCTCTTTAAACCTTTGATTTCACCATGATAGAATCACCGTACACCTTTCTTAGCAATTTTAAAGTCTTCATAGATGTTTTACCTAAACGCTGACAAAATTTAATGTTGCAGCGCTGTTCTTGAAACTCCATTTTTATTACGTCGCAAAACAAAGGTAACTATCTCCGAAAAAAAACAACAGCACTCGCGGTTTAATCATGTGACATGGGCGAAATCAACCTGAACACGTAGGGGTGGTTTGATAGAATCCATTTCATATGCTGTAACTTTAAATACATGCTTTTGTTGTCATACATTACTGCAGTCCCCGAACTTTTGGATCGTACCACGTATAATATACTACACACACACACAATTCTTTCAATGATATACTGTACATGAATAAATTATTAGGAAATATACAAAATACAATCATGTGAAAAATTTTCATCATAAACAAGTTAAATCTCTAGGAAAGAAGGAAATATTAAATTTTAGTGGCAACAACTGAAAAAATTCTTTCTTCATACAACAAAGTTGATATTATATAATAATAAAATTTATATAAAAGATATGCAGGTAAAAAAAATACAGCAGCACACAGTATACAGATGGAAAAAAGCACAATATCAAATATCAAACTACAATAATTAAACCTGTTTCAGGACATTTGTTGTAATTAAAATCATATGTGTAAGTTTTGTATTCCATATCCTGTGTAATATAAAAGAAGCATTCTTTAACATTGAAACCAACTGCAGATTAAAATATTAGGTCTACTGGAAAGTTCTGTCCATTTTTAGAATAAAACAAAATAATAAATTTTTCATACCTTGAATAAACTTTATTGAATAATATAATTTCCATCATTATTTACGACTTCTTGCCAGCATGATGGCAATTTGTATATCCCATTTTTAAAAAATTCCTTATCCCTAGAGGTGAAAAATTGAACCAGTGCTTGTCTGATATCTTCTTTGTTTTTGAATTTTTTGCCCTGATTCACTACGGACAACCGTTTCACTTCAGTTAAACAGTTGTCCGTAGTGAATCAGAAAATTTGTGTTTTTCAAAATTCAAAAGTTTTTAATGATAAGTGAATTTAATTATTTCTAAAATATAAATCGTGTAGTTGTAAGTTCACTGGTGCACGTATTCTGTTTCAGAAACTTAGGTGTACTGTACATATTAATCTGTGTGATGTTCACGTTTTTTAAATTTTGGTCTTGACAGACATAAGTTAATTTGAGATGGCGATGCCATTGGTGCTTTTAATATGGAACCCAACTCCCTCTTTGCAAGCAAACATTTGTCCAGAGCAATTTGTGAACATTCTTTGTACTTTCCTATTTGTTTTTGGATACATTAAAGCATTTTTTGAAAACATACAGTAAGGTTCCATATTACCACCGGGTTTCCCTAGGCCTACTTTGACTTTTTGTACAGAAGCCTTCAAAAACCATACCCATAGTTACACTAGCGAAAAATCCAATTAGGAACATTTAGTTTAATAGTTACCAGTACTTTTCGCACAAAAAATGTGAATGTAGTTATGATACCTTGTTTACAATTTACTAAAATGAAAATGGGGTTCCATAATACTACCTTCTCCTCTACTGCTTAGCTTATTTTTATTTTATAGTTTTGTCACTTCTAATCAATACTGTTTTTATAATTAAGTAACTATGTTTGAATAAATATTGTTCATCTAGTTGATTGCCTTTTAATTTTATTTTAACCATTAATATACTTAAATCAGGCCTGGTCCGCATGCAGCCCGTCACATTAAATTATGTGGCTTGCTAAGTAATATTATATATCTATTAAAACTTTCGTTTTCCGTTTTGTGTATACCAAAACAATTAAATAAATGAAAATTTGCATGTGTCATTGTTATAATGCGCAAGTGCGAGTACGACCTCTTGGTATAACAATGAAATCTTATTCATTTTGTATTCGTTTTACTTTTTTTAAAGCATGTTTGCCTAAATTGTGGCCCATCGTAATGTTACGCGTGATCAAAGTGACCGTTGAAAATATTTAGGTTGGCCAGGCCTGACTTAAATAATAATTCTAAATCAGTTCGGCCTACGACAAACTAATTAAGCCTAAAGTATTTAGGCCAAACTAGATTGTCCTAGGATAAACTAGTTTGGCCTGAAATCGGGTTTGGCCAGTAACATATATAAATTTAGTTGTGTGTGGGGTATATTAAAAATCTAAATTGGTGAGAAAGTAGAACATTAGAAAAAATGTATTAAGGAACAAAGCTGCAGGTTAAATTAGATGACCAAGTTTGTGTACACTGTAGAAATAATAATTATTATTATTAATAAATTTTTGAAAAAGGCAATCAATTGAATATTATTAGTAATAATTTAACTAATAGTTCTGAAATAATGGAAAAAGAAATGATTTAAAAAATTTTTTAAAAAACAGTATTAAAATTGTATTTAAAAACGTAAATTAATGTTAACTATAAAAGAAATTATCATAGAAAGTTGATTTGAAATTGTAACATGGATGATAAATTCCTACTGTGAAACATGTCACAAGGTTGTATTTTGTTGATTTATAAAATTGCAGCAATAGCTTTAAAAAAAAAATGAAAATTTAAATTTTATTGTTTTGAGTTACTTCTCAACAAATGTTTATTTAGAAACCAATGTTATAGAAATTGGCTTATGTAATGAAGATTGCTAAATTACTCAATCAATTACTAAATCAATTACTTTTTGTAAAAATTATAATATATGTAAAAATTAGATTAATAATTACATTTGAAAAATGAATTTGCCAGAATAAACTAAATGCATTTTGTAGTTGTCAATTAATGTAGATTTAGGAAGATGAATTGCAGACAATCTTTATATCAATAATATCTAGTTCAAATTAATTATAATTAGCTCTGTAACTGAATTTACAAGTATCTTAATATTAACTGAAACCCAATTTTTTCAGGTGCTATTAAATTGGTGAAATCCTTAAAAAGGAGAAGGAAAATTGAATTATATGAAAAATAATTATGAAATTTGTACTTAAATTTCTACAGAAACTAACTTAGTAAATTTATATTATTTGAATACTAAACCTGTATTTTTCCATTGAAACATCATTTCCATCTATGTCCAGTGCATTGAATTCATAAATTGACTTTGCATTTTTCCAATCACTAGCAGCAGCCTGATAAAATGAATGTTTTAGAATTTTAAATTTCTTATTGATTATTACATTATTATTATTATTATACATACCATACTGGAGAAAAAGCATGAAACTTTCAAAATTCTATTTAATCTTGTTTCTGTAAAAATTAAAATATTAACTAGGCTAAATATAAAAAATTAGTTTCAAATAAACTATTTAAAATGAATAAATGAAAATATGTAATAAAAGTAATACTGTTAGTTTGAATAAATTTAAAGTATAAATGTAACATTTATATTTTACTTATTAAACTTTTATTTACATATTGTTTAACGTTAAATTACAAATTAATATTTTCATTTAAAAATGTATTAAGAAACATTGAAAGAATTTTCTATAAGCTTCATATTGTTTTGGATTCTTAAAATCTTTATTCCTATAAAAATTGATTTTCACATTGTAGTTCTTAAGTACCACCCATTTGAAAAAAGTTATTTGCATTTTAATGTTAACAAATACATAATACAGTGGAACCCCAGTTAATGAACATAATCCGTTCCACGAGTCCGTTCGTTAACCGAAGCAATTTTTCCCATAGAAATTAATGCAAATACAATTAATCCGTTCTAGCCGTCAGTATTTTTGTAATTTTATTTGTAAAATGGGTTTTCTTTGATGAAAATATAAGAAAACGTAGTATCTATCATTACAGCAACAAATATGTAAACTTTATTTAATAAAGTAGCACTGTACATACCTTTGTTTCTACGGAGCTTAATGCTTGGAAGAGGAATCCCCCTCCATAAAAATATCGGGTAGCACTGCATTGAGAGTTTCTTCGAGTCGAGGTCTCTTTTGATAAGGAACAAGAAAGTAGTCTAAAGTTGATTGTGTTACTCTCTTAATCAAAATTTTTCTAAAATGTGCTAGCACAGTACAGGCAGTTTGGACTTTATCACATTTTTGCTCTTAAAGGCAGGGGGATTTTCAGCATTGTAGACTAAAAGTGGCTTGATTTTGAGGTCACCACTTGCGTTAGTGCAAAATAAAAGAGCGAGTCTGTCCTTCATGGGCTTGTGCCTGGGAAGTGCTTTCTCTTCTTATGTACGTTTGTTTAGGCATTCTTTTCCAAAAAAGATCAGTCTCATCGCAATTAAACACTTGATTCCAGACGTATCCTTCACTTTTTAAAAACTCTGCAAATTCATTTACAAATGCTTTTGCTGCTTTTTCATCTGAACTTGAAGCCTCCCCGTGTCTTATGACACTGCGAATGCCAGTTCGTCGACAAAACCTATCAAACCACCCTCAGCTCGCTTTAAAATCCTGCCTGTCTGCACTTGTACTGGGTGTCTGGGTCAACAAGTCATTGTATAAATTTTTAGCCTCTTCACAAATTATAGCTTCACTAACACTGTCTCCAGCAAGTTGCTTTTCATTGATCCATATTAGCAACAGTTTTTCAACTTCATCTAAAACTTTAGATCTTTCAATATCACATTCGATCCTTTAGCCACTTCGGCAGCCTTAAATGCTTTTTTGTTTTTAANTTTACTATTTTTTACGGATACCGGTAGCAATTTTTTCGTAGTTTTATAGGAATCGTAACTATAGGGACCGTAATTATAGGGGGGTCGACTGTACCAATAATTGTTGGGTGCCTGAGTATTGCTCGATTGTGGAGTGCCAGAGAGTCACTCGCTGATTTGGAGATATTAAAGTGTCATTGTATTGTTATAAAGGAGTGTGTGCTGTGTTCTTTTAGACTGCGTAAACGGCAACATTTCATACCACCATCATCACAACAATATCAATTTTGTATACAACAGTGAGGTTCCAGAACGGCTGGAAACTATTGGGTTGATGCAAAAGTTTGTCCCATTTTTAGCACCAGCTGGCTAAAAACGCAACACTGAAGTGTTATTTCCTTCACATGTGTAAAATTTCAATGTTGTTAGACAAAAGGGATCTCAGCTAGTATTTGAGAATAAAGTTGTGTTACTTGTGTTTTCGGCAGCCTTAAATGCTTTTTTGTTTTTAATAATTGTAGAGATAGTCGATTTTGCCACATTATATTCTTTAGCGATGTCATAAACACGAATGCCATTCTCGTATTTTGTAATAATTTCTTTCTTTAATGCTACACTAAAACATTTTCTATTTACACTGTCACTTTTCTCTTTCTTCGGTGCCATACTGATTAAATATAGAGTATAAATAACAAAACTAAAAAATGAAGTTTAACACACTCGAAAAAGCAATGCTTCCCTCACGCCTAAGAGCAACTGAAATTTGTTGAGTGTTAAGTTCAGTTGTAACATGTGTAAGGTGTGTAGATGTCAGCAAGTGGTGATGGACAGTCCACAGCTTGGTCACACATGTCAGGTGGGTGAGGTAACAATATCCCCAAGAATGTGGGGGAGATTGTCCCGCCTAGAGAGGGAGAAATGGTGAGAGGGAAAATTTGTGCGCTTCCCTTTGGGTGTGTGTAGAGTCAGAGTGGTGTGTGGAGGCAGTACTGAGAGGAGTGCTGATCGCAGTACTGACCGGGGAGCTAACCAGAGTGGGTAGCTGTGTGGCTGGTCAAGAACCAGTATTGTAATTACAGTCGACCCCCCTATAAGATAGAGATACGTTCCATTCTCTAGGAATCCGCTTTCTTACGAATCCTTCCAATCACAACCCGACACGTATCAAGTTTACGGACTACGGCTGTTTGAAATATTTTCTTCCATAAAATTAATCGATTCTAGACTAATCCGACTCAACATTTCCAAAATACGTATATATTTTTTGGGAATAATCCGTATAAACTACGCTATAAACAAAAAATTGTAGGATTACTTACC